CCAATTTCTCATTAGTTACTTTCACTTTCCTTGACGTTTTCTATTTTCCGCAAATAAAATTGAACATCCCTGTAATTATTGTACAGTCCCTTACTAAATATATTTCGTTTTTTGTTGTTGTTTTTTTTTTTGCTATAAAGTTGAAAGAAATTATATACTGTTATAAGACAACATTATCGGATCTATATTTATGAATTAGTTTTCTAGTAAGCTCGTTACTAGGTTACCGTCAAGCTCCACTTGCGGTTTTGCTCTAACAGAACAGATACTTAATATGACATTATTACATAAAATATGACATCTGTTTGTACATATCACGTTTCTCCTAGTTGTTTTAGGTCTTTTAGGATTCCAATACATTTGTCTCGAATATAATTTAGGTTACTATTTTGATAGGTTTTCTATTTTGTCGTGTTGGAGTTGTGTGCCTCGACTAAGCTAAAGTCTGGTTACACCTTGTGACTCCTTGGTTTATTTTTAATCTAATCGTTTTTATTGAATTCCAATATTCCATTTAACTGTGGGATAAGCACTTCAAGTTTGACAAAAAGGCGAGACAACAAGGCACCTTGGTTTTGCACCGCTTTTGGGTGGGCTCCTCCCCTGTGCCCTTGTGTCTCAAGGCGCACCCCTAACGCCCTTCGTTAGTTCAAAGCCTTGTAGCATCGTTCATTTTGAGTCTCTTTATAATTTAACTTGCTAGAAAGTTAGTTCTCCGTTAGAGCTATCTTCTGTCTTAGTTTCATCTTTGAGTTTAACTTAAAACTATATCGGGGCATRGTATTTTCTCTCTCAGCCTCGACTGAACACCTTATTAGTAAATCAAATCTTATTACGTCAAGTTAATTTCTATCCAATAGTACTGCAATGCATCCTGACAATTTGCTGTCATCCTACAATTGTAAGATATCCACTATATAGGTAGATATTCATCTTGTACAGTTGGTTGTTGTTAGCTATGCTCAGTGTGTAAACTTCGTTCTAAAGTCTGATATTAAAAAGTATCTTGATCCAAGTACCAGCTCTATTTGAGAAGTCCCACAGCTTACAAGTTCCCGAAAATATCTTGTAACACTACCACAAAGAGTACACTTTCAAACAGGTTCTCTCAATCAGATTATAATACACAAAAACGCGCTTAGAAAGTCCCGTATTTGATTCTTCGTAATGGCGGATTGCTTAGTGTTTTGATATATAGTTTAACGATAACACCAGAAAGACCAGAAATGCGGATATGCAAAGACAACCATCACATTTATTATCAGAATGTTCACAATGCTTGAACGCAGTAGAAACTGAGTATTGGGAAGTGCAATTCATTGATGAAATCATATAGAATATAATATATAAGTGTCAAATCTAAAACAGTGCATGAAACGTTTTTTAATCAGTATCACGATTTAATGAACCGATGGAATTTTTCTACAATAATCGAGTAAAAGCATACCATAATTCGTTCATTTTTCCCGTTGTTCTAGGCAACAATCTCATATTTTTCATATTTAATCGTTCATTTTAATATATATATTGATTATCGTTGCAAATACTGTTTATGTCCAAAAAAAGTTCAAGCAGTTTAATATTCGAAACATTTCATAATTTTTCCAACCTTTTCCTTATTTTTCTCATTACTCACTTCTATGTTTTGTTGCGTTTACTTGAAAAAATCCCGCGCTTTGAAGGTGTTGCACAATTGATTTAAATATGATGTAGGCGTCCAAAATTCTGTAAATTTGATGTAAATTCTGTAAATTTGATGTAAATGATTTCCATTAAAATGTTTACAGAATTTTGGACACTTACATCATATTTACAACCTTTAAAGCGATTTTTTCCAGTGAGTAGTAGTAACTGAATCTTATTACATTATTATATTATCATACAGCCTTTTGCAAAAATTATGAGAATTGTCTAAATATCTAAATATCATAATATCCATATCCATATATTGTCTGGAACACGAGGGTTTGCTAGAATAATTCATTGTTCAGAACTACGGATAAGTCTGTCGCCAAAAATAAAAACTAAACTACAAAGACAAGGGACTAAGGGCATCGCACGGGATTACCCATCATACACTCGATATTATGATATTTAGGTATTTCAACAATTCTCATAATTTTTGCAAAAGGCTGTATAGCAGATGCATATGTAAATGTCAATTAATCTAACAACGTCTCTGTTATGGTTTTTGAATACTCATAAGGTTACCAGTAGACGCCAGTATTAGGTACTGAGCAATAATTATAGGAGGGGAGAGGGGCGTAAAACCAGAGAGGGAGGGCATTACATAAAATTGATGCCAAGATAGGGGGGGCTCAAAGTAAAATTACCTAATTAACAGAGGGGGGGGGGGGGGTTTTCATTATTTTCTTCATCTTAAATTCAACGTAAATAACAACCATAATTGTAGAAAATGAAAAAAAAAAAACTTTTACAGACAATTAGTATGATATTGATATTACTTTTTCAGTTTTAAGAAGATTTACCAACAACACTGATCATTTTTAATCTGCTAGCTAAAGCTTGTTAGGTTATCTTTTTTATAAAAAAATCCATTATGAAACGAAACGTACTAATGGAAATCTAAATTCAAAGACTCGTTGATGTGGGATTGAAACTTGACCAAGATATGACTTTGCCGTTTCAACTATTGATTTTTTCCCATTTTATCACATATATTGAAGATGTAGCTGAAAAACATCTTGATGATTTATTAGACATAACAAGCACAAATAACATCAAAGTCGTTTTTGACCATAAGAACGTTACATTTTTTTGGACCTTGAAAACCTTTCCCAGGAACAAATTCATACAATAACAGTTATAGCAGCTAGAACAGACCCCGTCAGCTCCTCCTGAAAGTTTTTGTCTTCACACTTAGGTCCATAAGATGAGTTCGATGAGGTCCAGATGAGTGTATTTTGCATTGCTACCCATTTGACTCGACTCGCTTGTGCTTGTTTTATAAAATATCTAGGACTATACACCCTTTTAATAAGTCCCGAGGTATTACGTTCTCCGCACTTGACGTCAAATTTATTCTTTTGAATTCCTTTTGTATTGTAAAAATTTCAAAAAAATAAATTTGACGTCAAGTGCGGACAGAACAATACCTCGGGACTTATTAAAAGGGCGTATACTTTAGCGCTTTTGGAACCTTTAACAATGCAATAGAAGAACTAAAGAGGATAGCGTTAAAAGCTTTGTCTAAGCTAGAAGAGATCTCGGAGATCACCGGCTTTAGTACAGACATATATCTATAACCATTAAATTATTTATCCTATTATATGGAAGTGAAGTTGGGGGAGCTGATATCAAACTGACAACATCGAAAACGACCCTGCAGAAGACTATATTTCCGTAAAGAGTAAGTGCCAGATTAAGAGTGATAAAGTTTTGGATTAATTTCGTTATTGCTGATAAAATAAAGTTATCATACCTAACGTTACAAGACTGTGCTGTAGCTGGAGCGGAAATGAGTCAAATTGATTTTAAACAAATTAGGCTACAGCTTTGTATGGCAACAAAATTTTGACAAAACGAAGCGGAAAATACTAGCAAAACAAAGAAAACAGAGATGAGAGATTAGGGGAAATTCATGATGATATGGGTAGGAAAGAAACTCAAACAAACAAACTTATAACTTATAGAACTTTAATAAAAAAACTACCAACAGGAAAGTTACCACAAAGAAGTGAGCAATATCAAATATAGATGATCACTTGCTAAACTTAGAATTAGTAATCATTCTTTAGAAATTGAAAGAGGGAGGTATTCACGCCCATATGTCAAACCAAAAGAGATAACATGTCATCTCTGCAAAAAAGAGCTATTTTCTTATGCTTCGGAGGGGGGTTCTGAAATCTGGTTTTACGCCCTCCTTGCGGATATGCAAAGAGAATCATAAAATTTATTATCAGAATGTTCACAATGCTTGAACGCAGTAGAAACTGAGTATTGAGAAGTGCACATTCATGGATGAAATCATATAGCATATAATATATAAGTGTCAAATTTAACACAGTGCATGAAACGTTTTTTAATCAGTATCACGATTTAATGAACCGATGGAATTTTTCTGAAATAATCAAGTAAAAAGCAAGTACCATAATTTATCCATTTTTCCCGTTGTTCTAGGCAACAGTCTCAGATATTTTTTTATCATTCATATTTAATCATTCATAGCAATATATATTATTATTATTATCGTTGTAAATAATGTTTATATGAATAAAAACCTCTAGAATATTCCAAACATTTCCAAACATTCTATAATTTTTCTCATTAGTCACTTTTACTTTTTCGGGCGATTACCATTTTCTGCACATAAAATTGAACCTCCCTTTTTCCCGGTTATCTCATTTCATTTGTTTTTGTTTTTAAAGGTCAAATGGTTCACTTTTCTCTTCTTTCTCTTTGAATTATTTGAATTATTAATTATTATTAATTATTTTTTCATTATTTTTAAGTGAAGTTGCTGGAAATATGTTGAATATTCACTAGTATTTGAATTAAGGTCTCCTAGTTTTGATATATAAATAATAAATGAAAATATATAAAACAATAAAGAAATAATAAATAAAGCAATAATAAATTCTGAAAATTGTTAATTAGTTATTATGA